AGGACTCCAGTTTCTCTGTCACAGCAGATGGACATCTCGGGCCTCAAGTTCATCAAGACCTTTCCCACTTACCTGCAGGCCAGACTGCAACCTTATCAAACCTTAATGACAAATGTCCTCAGCAAGCAATCTTCTTAACTCAGATACCTATATATTTATGTTTACTCTCCCTTCCATGCAGCTTTCCACCTTTTCAACTGTTCTTACGTATAATGTGAGTGGAAAAATGGGGGGGAAAAAAAAAAAACCCAACAAAAAAGGAGATGCATTGATAAGGTAGTAAAAGGAATGGATCTGAAGTGGTTGTGTGATTTTGAGACAGTGGTGCAGTGATGGGAAGGGGAGGAAATAATGTCTTGCTTCTTTTATCCCACTTTTTTCCAAGATTTCTAATCAGAAATATTATTTTTTTGTGTCCACAGTGCATACTCAGCCCTCACAAAATTTATTTTCACATGCTTTTCCTCACTAAATTAAACCATTCTGCCATGAAAATACCTTTCCTGAGCTACATTTACTGTTCAGTACTGCTGTGTCTCCTGAAACATCCCTAATGTTATCTGTGTCCTAAACTAAATTTTGTTCCCCTGCATGTTTCCTCACCCAGTGATTTCAGGTCCTGCACTTACTGTGCATTCTCATCCCTCTTCCATGACTTGTTTCCAGTGCCTTATATGTGATCACATTGGCTCTCACATGTCTGGTCTTTCCCCTGACCCTATTTAAGGTGACAGTTACTTATCTTCATTTGTGCAAAAGTAGTATTTTTGAGTTCCCATTAGAAAAAGGTAATGGTGGAAGTAAGAAGTATTTCCAGAGAGGAGCAGCCAGGCAAGCTGGGTGTTACAGCAATGTAGAGCAGGGAGGAGGACTGATTGAGTGCCCTCAGGGTGACCCAGAGGGTCGGTCCAGGTTGGCCCCTGTAGCTAATTGCTACTGACACTAAAGCAGCAGCCTGTATGTGCCCTTCCTTGGGGACTGAGGAGATGTGTGTACCACTGTTGTTGTTCTGCTTATGATCCCCAGGAACACTCAGGACAGGCTGGACATCCCTCTGAGGCCACAAAGCAATGACATGTTTGATGCAAATGTGAGTGACATAGTTTTGACAGATCTAGCACTACACAGAGATAACAAGAAATCACTGCAGTATGGGGAACTGGACCATGGAGATGCAGGCTTGGGTCTCCAGTGAGGTGCAGCTTCTTGCACAATTCTGGAAGTTTGCTGACTTTTTGTCTGTTGGTTGTAGCTGGAAGCACAGTCTGAGGAAGACAACTTTCATTGAGTTGGGACAGAAGAAAGAGGTGGGCAACAGTGCAGGGGTTCCTCTAAGTTGCATATAACCTTGTCTCAGGGTCAGCTCCACCACAGGAAGCTTGCAGCACTTATGAATCTGCCTGTCTGATAATAATTATTTTAAAACCAGTGATCACTCTGCTTTAATTTAACCAAATTAATAAGTTTTATATACTTACATGTTTTTTTACATTTGCTGATTCACACTCAGTGAAGATAATTAGCAATACAGAGCGCCTCCTGTGTAAGCCCTTTCATGTGACTTGTCCTATTTGCCTTTTTTTCATGGGTTTTATTTGCTACTAAAGAAATACCACACGTGAAGTGATGTTTGGAATTTAGAGTATTATAACAGTTGATAGCTATGTGATGACTTCTTAAAACTAAGTCTGAGAAAATCAGAGTGCATGAAACCAAATTGTAAAGATTCTAAGTAGAGACACACTAATCCTCTACAAAGGCAGGGCTACTGATAGATTAAGTCATTAGACTAGATGCACACCCTTCAGAAAAGGAAACTGTGGTCACATCACTAGGCAGGCTTTCATATGATATTAAAAAATCTGCTTCAAATGCATGGCAGGTGGGAAATGCTCTCCTCAGACTCAGTCTTGTTACTTAAAATACAGCTTTGCAGTCAAACTGCAGAGAAGTAAACATAACTAAAATTGTCAAATTGGGAGCTTAAAAGTTAGAAAATGCCAGACTAAGTTTCCTTTTCTGAGTCATCACTCTTCCCCTACCCTCCTTCCTTGCCTTATGGCCAGTGCACACAATGCAAAATGGTTCTGTGTTTTTGACTGCATCACATCAGGTCTCCATTGAAAAATGTTCAATACAAAGAAAAAAAAATAGCAACCTGGTGGATAAATCTACAGCAGCCAACATTTACTTCAGATACATCACAAATGGTGATTTTTGGAATACCTGTAAAGTAAGACATTTATATAGATCTCATTTCCCATTTTGAGATTGAAAGGATTAAGAACTGAAGTGTGCAGGAAACACAAATACTGTATTTGAGACATTTCAGAGTGGGCTTTAAACTTCCTTTTTGTCTCATGCTTCAAATATTTAAGACTGTGCCCCCACAGTGCTCTGTTACAACTGTTTGTTCCCAGCACACCTAACTGGGAGCACCTAAAACTATGTATCAGTAGAAAATATTTTGAATTATTTCACCACTATAACATGAAAACTTTATGACACAAAGGAGGGACACAATAAAATTATAAGTAAATATGAGACTTTTGTTTTCATTGTGTGTATGTGTTCTACTCATTGCTTACAGAAGTCAGAAGCACTCTCCCCTCTAGTGTGATGTTGAAATTTGAGCCTCAGCTTGGGTAAATGAGGCATGGATAGAAAATGTAGAAAATAGGGCATGATAATAATTTTTTTCTAAGGCATTCATAAGAAATTCAAATTAAGCTGTACAGACAATCTTAACTTTTGTATTTTTGACTTTTAAAACACAATAACGGTTTACCTGTTTGATGTGTTTGTAACATTTTACTTGAAATTCAAAAAAATACCCCCAAACTAGAAAAACAATCCAGTATATGACATCCTAATTTCATTTATGAATGATTACCAGAGCTGCAACTGTTAGCTTTGGCATATAGATATGATTCCTAATTAAACCCATAAATGGCAAATAGCAATCTAGTTTTATTACAATCTGAGCTCAGAGCAGAGGAATAAGGACACTGACAAAAGGCTTTACAAATATTTCCTGACAATGCAGAAGATAAAGCTTGCAGCCATGGGGGGAAGCCTGCTCCCTTGTGAGCACATGAACCTGCCTGTTCTCTCCAAACCTGTTTCTTAGGAACAGCTACTGTCCTGTCCATAATGATAACACCTTTCCTTTTCTTGGCTGTCATTCTCAACACTGCATTGTTTCCTCTCTTTGCACTTAACTCTTGCTCCCACAAACAAATCATCCAGCCAAGAAAACTCAGCTTTCAACATTCTGTTGACTTCTGGCTTCAACAAATCTTGGTTCCTCTCCTGATGATCCTCTACAAATCCATCTCTATTGTTCCTCCTCTCCATCACTGTTTCCCATTTGCCCATGTTCTTTATTCTTCTTTCTATCTACCTGCATTCCTATTTGTGTTTTACCTTATCATGATACTTCCCAGAATTTCTTTAGTATTAGTTTTCTTCACATCCACAGACTTCATTCCATGTACTATCTTCAACTTTCTCTACCATTTTTTTCAGTTTCCATCTCTTAAGCCAGTTTCTGGCAGTTTTCCATATAAGTTGCCCCCACTCTGCTCTCAGTCTCCTCTATTGCCATCTACCCAGTTTCATTTTGCTATCTATCATAGAATCACATTTTGAAGGCAATCCTTATAATGCTAATATGTTTTGTTTGTTCTCACCCCCAAATGAAGAAAAAAACCAAGGGCTTACATTGCTTCATCATGTTTTCCTCAGTTTGTTCAGATCAAGCAACATTTTAACAGATGACAATTATATAGACTGTGTTCAGATTAAGCAAAACCATGAAAAAAGTGTTAGTGACACTGTCGGCCCAGAAATCTTGTGCACATGAAAAATGAAAAATTTTCTGTTGTCCCAGGATTGTCAGTTTGAGCTTGACAGCAAACCTTGTTTTAAAATAATGAAAAATATTCTGACAAATTAAAATTCTGCATCCAATGTGCAATGTCTTTCTTTTGTCACCTGATGACCACATTGCAGGTGATGACTTGTCATGCTTTGCAGAAGGTAGCTGTCACAATTCATCAACCTTTTCAGATGAAGGAGAGATTATCCCCTTTGATATATCAAGAAAGCTGAATTTGGGCAGCCACCTCCAAAGATATGATTCAGTCAGAAGGTACTGGGAAGCAGGGATCAACTGAGCAAAGATGAATACTAAAAAAAAAAAAAAAAAAGCCAAGCCAGTGTCAGGAGCTGCAGTGGCAGGGAAGTGAAAGTGGGTATATATTGTGGCAGATGGAGGCAGAATATGAGATAGGAGCCTGAGGAAAAAGAAAGGTAACTAGGGAATTAACCTGCTTTTTCATCATCTAGTGCTACATCTGATAACAGACCATTTAACATGCTGGAAAACAGTCTCAGTGTGACTCATGAGCGCAACTGTTGGTAGACATCTGCTCTACAAACACATTGAGTAGCATGTCTCTTGTCTTGTTCACTTTTGTTTAGCCTTGATTCACTTTCCCAGTGGCTCATTCTAGCCAATAATCCATCCACTTACTGCACAGTTTTGCACACAGAATGGGTGGTAAGTGACCAGTGAGCCAACCTTGGAAAAAAAAAGACCACCTTTCTTGCTACAGCTGATGTTCTCTGCATCATCTTTAAGTTCACTTATTTCTGTCTGTGTATCCAGAAGAAATTTTTGGTTGCAAGGAGTTACCAGCTACCTGGCCAAGTGGTTACAATTATACATCAGACTTCCTCACAGCCACCCACTATTTTCATTTTATAACCTCTGCATAGTGAAAAATTGCTGTTTGAATGTTGTTTTTATGGTGCTGAAGTTTTGTAACATGATCTTATAGTATAGTACAGCAACATTGCAATTAGAAAATATTTTCCTTTAAATATTTTTCATGCACTTGTTTTTCCCCAAAAAAACTAGCAGCACTTAAATACATACATTCAGTTTTAAAGCATGAAATTCTTGGGTTCAAGAAAATTTATCTCTAGCAACTTACTTTCACCGGCTGAATAGTCCTGTGGATCGAGTATCCCTGATTCCTGCAGTGATCTAATACAGGAGTCCACCAGCTCCAGACCAGTAGTGAGCTCATCTTCTATATCCTTCTGACCATCTGTAATTAAATTAACAACATAAAAACATAAAAGAAGGGCAAAAAGGTTACACTATATACAAGACAAAAGCTAAAACCAGTTACATGTGACTAAGCAGTCACAGCTGATGAGGGAATTGGATTCATAAAAGCAAATTTAGGTCTAGTAGCCCAGACACATTTAGCAATGCCCCCCTCTCAAAACTCTACATTAGTTTCAGTGTGTTTTTTGTCAACCCTAACAAGTGCCTAACAACTTTTTTCCAAATCTTGTCACTTTTTAAGTAGAGTTTTCACACACTACCAATGAGAAAAAACACACAAAAACCCCAACAAAAACCTCCACATACATCAGTATGGTTTTCCCCTCCATCTTATTTAGGTAAAAATGATCCTTCTAGAAGAGAATATAAGTAATACATACATGTAGATAAGTACATTACCTTGTGTTTGCCAGTGAAACTGCTCCTCTGCTGAACTGGAAAAAGAAAGAAAAAAAACCAATAATTTTAAATTAAATTGTTCTGTAGTGTACCATGAATATTCAGACACAAATTTATTCTGAAGGAACTGATTTAAGAGAAGAACACACTTATGAATAAAAAACATATTTAGAATACATAATTTTATATATATATATTAATTAATGACTTGTACAGCATTCACTCAGCTGGAAGGAAGCAGCTTTATTTCTTTATCAAGTAATTTGAATCATACATGTAGAAATTGGCCCCTTGGGCTTGATAAACAAACAATACTTTCAAAGCAAAAACATCAGCATTCTACTTTTCTGGATCCTTCCATTTGTCTGATCCTCCATGTTTACTGAGAAAATTATAAATTGCTTTCTCAAGTGAATAGTTACATGTGATTTCCAAAAGAAATTATGAGTATGATTCCTGGTTCTACTGATCATTATGTGCATTTTTATATTATTCAAATGTGCAGCTAAGTTAATTCAATTGGCCTATAAAGAGTAAATTTAGATGTGTTTGTGCTTCTTTGTGCAAGCACTTAAACAACAGAAGATCTTAATTTTAAAATAATGAACATGCATATCAGAGGATTGGTTATGTAGGGTATTTTTTTTCAATAAAATGAAAGATACATTCAAATGGATGATAAAATGAATTGGATATTCAGTTAGGCAATGACTACACTTTCCTCCTTCTGTTCTGTTTATGCTTCAATACAGGCTTTTGTCACATTACAAGAATACAAAAAGGATTGCAGTTACTCAGTATTAAACATTCTTTTGATAACAGTGAACTGATTATTACACTCATGACTCATGAAAGATTTTTCTGGACACTTTTATAAGATTCTTATAGGGGAGAGGAACATTATCTGTTGCATCCATAACTTAAAAAAAAACCCAAAGACTGAAATTATTTTACCTTTTCAAAAAATTATATTTATTTCTTTATTTCTTTGTTTATTTTCTGATGTTGAGACTAAATGCTTTTTTGGATGAGTAAATAGATTTAAATCTCTAATTTTTTTCCCTTTTCCCAGAAGATGCTGGATCACTTATGAATATGTCAGAATACCTCCTACTATCTATGTTCTGAACAATAGTAATGTAAATGAAATTAAATGCTTCCTTGTGGATGTCTATTTTTATAGTAAAGAATTTGTGTCAGTATTTACCATATTTGATAGTGTTTTAAAAAAAAGTCGTCTAGTTTACATAAAAATAGTTCTAAAAGGACTTTTAATTTCTACCTGGCATCAAATCTTAACCTGGCAAGTTCAAATCTATACACCATCATACATTTCCTAATATCTATGAACTGCGGTTTATATTGACTGACTCTACTGAGAGGTCATAGATTAAGCCAGCCCTTTGATGAGATAGTGAACTAAAATTCTTGTACTCAAGTCCACTGAAATTAACAATATTGAAGATAAATGTTAACAGAGTCCTCGGACAAACAATAATAACTGCAAACTGCAGGGACAGTGACTCTTTTTGAAGTTACACTTTTCCGAATTTTATATTCCTTTTGTCTGATTTTCAGATTTACTAAATAATTGCAGCTTCATCTGACACACTGGGACTTGATAGCATTCTTACTTTCTGTAATTAGCACAATTCATAATAATCAATGTACTGCTTTCCACTTTAGAATCCCTGTTCCAGTAGCCAGATTTCTGTGTGATAGGTATCCCCATACCAGTCAGAAAGAAATGCACTATCCTGGGTGGCATTCTTGCTGACAGAATGAATTACTAGATGTTGCTGGCAAGAACACAATGATGTAAAAGCCTATGCCACTTCATCCAAATAAGTTAAAAAAGAAAATCAAGTCGTGCATAAAGAGTGAACCACTTCCAGGAATTCTAGCTTAGCCCTTTTTAAGTAGCAAACTTGTACAAAATGTAACAAAGTTCATTCTGTTCAATGAATCACTTGTGGTTGATTCATAGTAATCCCCAGTATCACTTGTCTGACTTACACAGAAACACTGTACCGTATCCATATTAATCTCAGGATCACAATGAATTTTCACTACATTTTGACTTTTCCAATTTTAGTCACACTTCTCCTCATCACTACTGTAATGGTTTTCAATAAATAATGTAGCTCTTAGAGTCATGATAGCAGACCCACCATGAGAATTTTTATCCTAATTCTACCTTCTTATTCAACATGTGGAACATGAACCAGGCTGCACAGGGCAGTGGTGAGTCCCCATCCTTGAAAATATTTAAGAGATGAGTAGGTATGATATCTGGGGACATGGTTTAGCGGTGGACTTGTCAGTGCTGGGTTAATGCTTGGACTAGATGGTCATAAAGGTCTTTTCCAATCTAAAAGATTCTATGATTCTCTATTAAAGTTGTGTTTGCTCCTACAAAGATATCAGTATATTCTGGTATAGAAAGAGTGGTGTTTTCCTTAGTTAAATTCATGGTCTTTAGCTTGTTGGATATTGAAGCTAACATTTCTTGGTTGCAAACCAATGCCAGAGTCTCACAAACAAACTTTTAAAGGGTTTCCCTAGAAAATAGTTTTAATATAGATGCTCTTTATTTTTCCTTTTTTTCCCCTTTTTTAAACTGAGCTTCCCCTGCTTTTGGCCTGGAAAGGATTCCTGACTGAAGCAATGTGACCTTTTTGTGCAGGAAGCCTTTAGGTTGTCACATGACTGTGCCAAATCTCCTTGAGTGAATAAAACATCATAGTTTTTTGTTCTTTTCTTTCAGGTGCTTCTCAGCTTCACAAGAGATCAGTACAATTTACTGTATAGTTAAATCAAATACATGAAAAGACAAAAAACTAATAATTAACAGAAGTATTGTCCTAATAAATTTTTCAGCAAGTTCAGCAAAATGTATGCTTGCTTTATAGTATTTTTCTGAAGAAAAATGCATTAGCAACCACTTTTCTGCATATTCCTATGCCTCATTATATAAGTCTGCTAATATTAGTATCTTTGACTGAGGAAGATGTGCAATAAAATTCTTTATCAAGTTCTTCTGAACTATAATAACCTGAACCCAACTTAAGAATTTGAGGAAGGGATTTTAAACAGAACTACATTAGTACAACATTAGAAAGTTGTAGCATAAAATATGACTGAGTTGAGAACTCAAGCAGATAGGATTACTACCTCCCTTAACCCAAACTCAGAAGAATAATTGTGATTTATTTATTCTTCTTTTAATTTTGGTAGTCATTGCATCTGTATATACTTCAAATGTTCTAGTTACAAGTAAGACTACTGTTCTACTTAATTCTACCTGACTTACAGAAAGACTCCTCCATCGCTATTCAACTATGCAAAACTTGATTCTTCTATGGTTATATTGTCTTTGGAAAATTCAGTGTATTGAAGGAAGGTTGCAAGGAATCTGAATAACTTAATGAAAAGATAATGATAAAACCCAAATGAATGAACAAAACACTTGACTAAACAAAAGAAGAATACTGTTATATGTTTAGTTTTTGATGTTAATGTTTAAGTTAATGAACCTATATTCTGTAAGGATGCACTACATTGTGCTTAAAGCTTTACCTTTAATAACTATCTAGGAAAGAAAATATTTCAGTAAAAAATGTTTTACCTCCCTAGGCAAGAATAAGCAAAGTAAATATCTATAGAAAGGTCATCTTGATTCCAGCTGAACTCACACGTTACCATTTCTGCATACATGTCACAAAAGCACCAAAGGAGTGAGAACCCTCTGTGTGTGACTATGGGGAGGGCGAAAGGCAAATGTGCACAGCATGCTGCAGGGAGCTCATTTTGGGGAGCATCACTTGGGGACCTCTACCTATCTCTGAACAGCAAGGAAATAGCTAAATCACAAAGCATTGCAAAAATGCAGATTTTCTACAACCAGCTGAGGATGTCTGACTACTACCAGCAGCTCTGTACGTCAAGTTTATCCCTTTTCAGGCAGAAATAGAAACATCACAGACTGACCTGCAGTTTGCCTATAAACAAGCAACATACCAGGCCTTAGGGAGCCTTCATTTTTTCCTGTACCTCAAGTCAAGTTATACAAGAAGTGGGTGCCCCTTCCTGATGGACTTGATAGGAATCCACCATGATAAGATGGACTCTGTAGACAGCCAGCACCTGCATAACAAGGTGAATTACAGAAGACCATTAAATGCCTCTCCCAGCAATTTATGGGAGTCAAAAGCAGTTCTGGTGGTATAGAAGTGAATGCTTGGACAGTATTCACCAGCCATATTTCTATAAAAGCAACCAAAGTCCTCAAGGGAGGTAACCCATAGGTGGGGAATGCTACTGAGTACTTTGGCAGAAGAAAAGCTGCCTAAGACATCCTCAGACTGTGTTGCTATTAGGGCCTGTACAAATACCCAAAGATTCACTTCCAAAGCAGGTGCTGGTAAGCAGCAAGGGCTCCTTAGACTCAGCTGAACTCCTAGAAGATGGATGTGTGCCTGTGGCACTGGCAGCAGGGACAATGGTAGGCAAAGGTAAGTTACACCAAACCCCAGCCCAAGACACATTTTACACACTACCTGGATGCAGCAATACTTGCAGCATCACTTGGGTTTAGCTTTAGACATTACATGGCCTAGTGTGAGACCTGGCCCACTTCAGAGGAATGCCTTGATAGGTTCAGAACCATTCAGTGCAAGAAGGAGCTTCACTGCCCTGTAAACACTTCCCCCCAATAGTATTTATTATGCAGCCTGCAGAAATTAATTGTTTTTATCCCATGCACCAAGATACATCTGTGCACATGCACAACAGGCCAAAGCATTTGGTTATTCATTGCCTTGCTGCTCTCCATAGCAATGAAACTCACTTCTTGCTGGGAAGGGAGGTAGGTTTTCTTTCATTCACTGTTTCTGGCACTCTCCTTGCTTTACCACTGAGCTTGCATACAGGCTGCCAGGGCAAATTCACACTTTTGTATTCCCCTAATTATCCAAGAAATGTTTGTGTGCCTCTCCTTTGTGTGAAGTCATTCAGTTTACAGTCATCACTCACT